AGAGCTGAGCCGGCACATGGCTAATTCATGATTTTTGGTCATTTTAGTGGTTTTGGCTCATAGGCAAATAATATTATGGAGGTCAAATTTCTCGATTTTTATGATCTATAACCCACAATTTTTTTACCATATTTTGTGGTTTCAATCTATTGGCAAATAATTTCATGAACTACAATTTATGATTTCATAAGCTAAACTCATAATTGTTTGGTTATTTTTAATGGTTTTGACATGTAGGCAAATAATATCCTAGATGCCAAAATTCACGATTTCATGAGCTATAACCCACAATTTTGGCCAATTTAGAGGTTTCGATCCATCAAAAATAATTTTTGGAAGCCAAAATTCACAACTTCATAAGCTATGACACAATATTTTTGGCTATTTTAGTGGTTTTGACTTGTAGGAAAAAAAAATACCCCGGAGGCCAAATTTCTAGATTTCCCACAAGTTTTCGGCCACATTTTATGGTTTCAACTCGTTGGCAAATAATTTCGCGAGCTGTAATTTATGATTACATGAGCTAATAATCCGACCATTTAAAATGACCAAAAATCATGGATTACAGATCATGAAACACGTGAATTTTACATCAGCAAAATTATTTGGTAATTTAGTACACTAAAAATGACCAAAAATAGCTCATGAAAACTTAAAGCTTTCCCTTTGAGAAATTATTTGCCGACATGTCAAAACCACTAAAAACACCTAGAAACTGGGCTTATAGTTAATGAAATCGTGAATTTTGGCCTCCCAAAATTATTTACCAGTGTGTCAAAAAAATAAACTATGGCCAAAAATCGTACGTTATATTTGGTGAAATCGTGAATTTTGGCTTCTAAGAAACTATTTACCAACGGATTGAAACCACTAAAAATGGATTAAAAAATCATGTATTATAGCTCATGAAATTATAAATATTGGCCTTGGGAAATTATTTGCCTCTATGTTGTAATCACTAAAAAATGGTCAAAAATCATGGGGTTATAGTTCATGAAGTTGTTAGTTTTGGCCTTAACGAAATTAATTGGAAATGAGTCAAATCACTTAAAATGGCCAAAATCGTGGGTTATAGGTAATGAAGTTATGAATTTTAGCTTCCATGGAATTATTTGCGTACAGGCTAAAGAAACTAAAAATGCTAAAAATCATGGGTTATAACTCATAAAATCGTGAATTTTGGCATTCGAAAGTTTTTTTGCCAACGGGTAGAAACCATTAAAAATGGTAAAAAAAAATTATGGGTTGTAGCTCATAAAATCATGAATTTTGACTGACATGAAATATTTTTTGCCAATGTGTCAAAATCACTAAAAATAGCAAAAAATCATGGATTATAGCTCATGAAGCCGTGAATTTTGGCTTTCGAAAAATTATTTGTCAATTGGTCGAAACTACTAAAAAAGGGAAATAGTTGATGATATGAATTTTGGCCTCTAGGATATTATTTGCCTCCAGGTGAAATGCACTAAAAATGGTTAAAAATTATAGATTATATCTTAAAAAATTATGAATTTGTTCCTCTACGAATCAATTTGCCAGCTAGTCCAAACCACTGAAAATGATTGCTCATAGCTCATGAAATCGTAAAATCATGAAGTTTGCCTCTACGAAATTATTTGCATATAGGTTGAAACCCCAAAAAATTGGGGTTACACCTCATGAAATGATTAATTTTTATCTCCTCGAAATTATTTGCCAACGAGTTGAAACCACAAACTATGGCCATAAATTGTAAGTTAGAGATCATGAAACCATGAATACTGGCATTTGAAAAATTATTTGCTAGCGGGTCGAAACCACTAAAAATGGCCAAATATTGTCGTGTATAGCTCATGAAATCATGAATTTTGGCTTGAAGGAAATTATTCGTCAACAGGTCAAAAACACTATAAATGGCCAAAAATCGTGAATTTTGGCCTCCTAGAAATTATTTGCCTACAGATTGAAACCACTAAAAATGGTAAAAAAACACGGGTTCTGGCTAATAAAATTGTGAATTTTAACCTTCACAATATTATTTAGAAATGGGTCTAAACCAGTAAATGGCCAAAAATCATGGGTTATAACTTATAATGTCATGAATTTTAGTTTCCGAGAAATCGTTTGCCTACTAGTCGAAACCACTAATAATGGCAAAAAATCGTTGGTTACAGCTCATAAAATTAGGAATTTTGGCATTCAAGAAATTATTTTCCTACATGTAAAAACCATTAAAAATGGCCAAAAAATCATGGATTATCGCATCAAGTTGAGCGAACTGTGTTTTGCTGCTTGTTTTCGGACCTAGAGCTTAGCCCAGCCCACTCACCGGCCTGAGAACATGCGGGGCGAGCCATGACATGGGTCGGCCCACATGACCCACTTAATTATTTTTTAATTTTTAATGTTTACTTGTTTTAAACAAAATTTTTCAATATTGTTTAACACTTAAGAATTATATGTAAATAGCAAACTAACAATGACATGATTATAAAAATTAAAAATATTAATTTTATTAAGTAAAATTGTATATTTGCATACAATTACAGAGAAAAACTATCACAAACACAGAGATATAATGCACTTCAGAGCAAGTTTTACATAAATGAGTAACATAAAATTATTCCATTAGTTTAAAAAAATACAATAAACTTTAAAGAAAAAAGATATTACTATCAACCGAATGCTAGTCCACGGGTTGGGACAAGTGAGTCATTCCGCTCACAAGTGGACCCAACTCGTTCGCTAGGCCTTGTGGGCCGAGCAGGTTGTTGGATCGTATGGGGCTTGGGCCGAATGCAGCATGATACTGTGGCCTGCTATTGTAGCCGGCCAAATCGGACATGTCCCGCACCGAGCCGGATCGAGGGCCGAGCTAGAGAGCGAGCTGAACGAACAAGCTCGTGAGCTGACCCTGCCCAATGTCCCCCCTACTATAGGGTGGTCTGATAAATAAATTTTCAACAAATTACTTGTAGCCGGGGGGGGGGGGGGGGTGGCTATTTTAGCTACTATTGCAGCTGAGTTTGTCAACTCCGAAAAAAGAAATTGGACCCATACTAGTTTTTCTAGCCTAATTTCCTGCCAAACTAAAAACTAATTTTGCAGAGTTGTTACACAACCCAACTAATAGAGATGGTGATACAAATTAAAGAAGCGCATAATATTTGATTGAATATAGTTAGTGAAAAAACGACGTGGTTTATAATAACTAGGGATGGTTTTCTCTAGAGTGAATTGGGAAATGATTTTTGATAATGCAACATTACGTTTAAAATTTTAATTACTAAATTCCTTTCTGGTAATTTTGGATTTTGCCCTCTTTCAAATGAGAAAGTATTCATTAGGAACGGTTCATGACATTAGATATGTACCTAAAGGATGTCAACTATTAAATGGACACGAATATTAAAATCTAATGATCCAATAATTAACATCACATGAGTGCATATTTAATGTCATGGATACGAGTGCACTTGATACTCTTCTTAGTAAAACTATTTCCTTACTTTTCCTACTTAAAATATTTCCAACCAAACATGGAAATAATAATTTGACATCAACACTTATTTCTACAACTGGAGAGGATCATTTTTTTTATGAAGTAGTAGTCTCTCCCCTACTTTTTTGTAGTGAGAGGATCCAAATCCGTTGGTTTAAACCTCTAGATTGATATCAAGGGCATGTTTGTTTTATCCAAATATCTTGGCAAACACCTGGAAACATCTTGACATGCATTGCAATTTTTTTTCTCAAAATGTTTCCTATCTTTTTTCAGTAACGTACGTAGTTTCTGTAAAACTTGAAAAACCGCATAAAATTTGGGAAAATGTTATTTAAGTTTCTTGATTGTAAATGTTGGAAAATCTGACATATTGCAATATTTAATACATATATATTATTTTCCACCCCATTTACGCTTTTTTAAACTCATTTTCTCAGTTTACATTTCCTGTTATTATGAGTTGAACCATATAAAAAAGTATTTCCATTCTTGATTCAAGCATTGAGCAAACAAAAATGAAAATTATACCTTTCCAGAAAAAGTATTAGAATTGTGCAAAAAATGTTTTATTAAGATGAGTTTCCTTTATTTTCTACGGAAATGAAACAAACAGCCAATAAGCTCCAGCTAAATAATAAAAAACGGGTTAACGGATCTTAGCAGGGCCTATGATATTGGACTAAAGTTTGTTCAAAGATATGACTCATTTGGGCTTTACTAACATTACCCGGCCCGTCAACAGCCCTAATTCTCTTGCGCGAACCCTAAACCGTCTCTATATACTTTCCCAAAACCCTAGCCCTCCTCTCGCGATCTTCTTCCTCTTCAGCGAGCAAAGGCGCTCAGATCTCGGGAGTCTCAGTTCTCTTCACTCAATCAAAATGGGGTAATCAAAATCTCATCCTTTTTTTCTATTACATTCGATTCTCTCATCAAAGATCTCATCTTTGACGATCATGTTTTATCACGATCTTACGTTTTGATGATTATATCTTGATCGTGGGCGAAATTTAGCAAATTATGTGTTGCTTGTTGACGGTCCGGTTCTGAGAAGAGTAGAGATTTTCAGCACCTAACATAATCACAAGCTATATTGAACTTGTGCTGCCTTGTCTTTTGTTATATCCAATTGAATCTCTTGATTGGGCATGGGACTTGGTGGCTAACATTCTTCTTCCAATCTTTTTATGGTTAAATTTTCTTCTTTTTATGATTTTCCATGGAGTAACTGAGATGCCCAACTTGTAATTTTTAGCATTCTACATTGTATGCTTGCTATTGACCAATAATATAGTGCTTCGTTAGTCTTTGTGAAGTACCATTGATGGGCATATTGGCATTTGGCTTTATACACTTAGTATGCTTATAATTGTTGGGGCTCCAGAGTTGAAATAGAAATGAATGCGGATTATATATGTTTACCTTTATAAATATATGTCATACACCAACACAATCTAAACCTAAAACATCATGTACTGTTCTAAGATATAGTGCTTATTTTATAATAAAATTACAATTAGAAGCCACTTAAACGGATAGACTAATAGAACATTTAAGATGTTTGTGGAACCATCTTATAGTGGACGTTGCTTAACAAGTTGTGTTGGTTGTGATTAATGGCCTTCATAGTCCTCATCACTTTCTATTATAATTAATTGTTTTTAGTTTAAAAGCATCCTCTCTAATTTGAAAGAGATGTCTTGTTGAAGGTGATAGATGTAGATAAATCACTTGCACTCTCCTTCTCGAATCTGGTCATTGACGGTCTAGTGCTGATTCACGACGTGCATGTCAACACATTAACATGTTTATAAGCTGAAGTACCCATAAGACAATCATGTACTGTCTCTCTTTATTTTCAAATTAATAGATTAAGGGAAAGTATAAACATGATTTCTATATCTATGAAATACATAATGATTTCTATATCTATGAAAGTTAAACCTTTTCAATAGGCTCCAATGTTTTGGGTTTTCAGCTTAATTTGTCTAGTGTCGCCTATGTTTGTATTTTCATATATAGTTATAATATTGCTGATTAAGCAGAATCTTTAATTAGCATTGAGGGGAAAACAAATGAAATGATTGACTTGTGTCCTCGTGACAAGGATAATCTGCTTCTGATTATCTTCAACAGAGTTTTATTGAAATTCTATATCTGGCTATTGTGATCATCAATTTAAGAGAATTATATGAACTTGTGAAGATCCGGCATTTCCTTTGGTGGATTTCACTACATCTTAGATTAGATTTGGGGACCTTGTGTTATAGCTCTACACTAAAGACTAATTGCGGAGGCTGTAGAGATATGTTTTATGGAAGTTAAATTATTGTTAAGGGTCAATAAATAAAATATTAAAATCGTTCCTTGTGATGGTTGGGTAGTAATCATTCATTATGTACCACATGAGGAAAAGTTCTTAGCAACAGTTTCATTTTCTGAAATGTGTGAATGCTGATCCATATATTAATAGAGTTAAGATTTTAATCATGAAGAGTAAACCTGTCATTCAAATTGGGGCCTTTTGCATGTTTATAGTTGGTTATTTGTTTGGTTTTTGTATTTAATTCTGATCTTTTTGGTTTGTTTGTTTACTGTAGCGTAGTTGACGTAGTCTTGATTTTTTTATTCACTTTGCTTTCATGTTGAATGGGACTTTACTGATCTTTTATGATAGAATATCATTCTACTGGCCTAAAAATTGATAGGAGATGGAGGTTACCTGAAATAACATCAGAATACCAAGTGCTATACTCACGTGATTTTGAAAATTGATATTTAAAATCATAGAATGATAGCAAGAAATGTTTTTAAAAGTGCAAAACTTATTTAGTAAGTTTTTTCTTAGAATTTTACCAAAAGTTTTAGTTGTTACATTGATTTTGTATACACAAAATCAGGTGCTATGGCATAGGGNCCCCCCCCCCAAAAAAAAAAAAAAAAAAACACACCCAAAAAAAAAATTTTGTGGTTGCGCATTTTGATTTTTTCTTCTTCAGTTTGTTTCCTTTTTTTAATGTAAAAGCTACATATTTTCAATTTGTTGCGTGTAATTTGTAACCCATCATTCCTTGTTTAATAATTAAAAATATTAAATGTCAATTGATTGCGTGTTTTTCTCCAGTTTTTTTACAAAGGTTGTTTGCTTCATAATTAAATTTCATTACAGGAAGACTCGTGGTATGGGAGCTGGGCGCAAGCTGAAGACCCACCGAAGGAACCAAAGGTGGGCTGATAAGGCATATAAGAAAAGTCACCTTGGTAATGAGTGGAAGAAACCATTTGCTGGTTCTTCTCATGCTAAGGGCATCGTCTTGGAAAAAATGTGAGCAATCATATAGTCTCTTCAAACTTTTTTATGTTTGGATTTTGGCTGAATTATGAATTTATGGATACAAAATTTACAGTGGTATTGAGGCAAAACAGCCAAACTCTGCCATCCGTAAGTGTGCCAGAGTTCAGTTGATCAAGAACGGAAAGAAGATTGCTGCTTTCGTGCCAAATGATGGTTGCTTAAACTACATCGAGGAAAATGTAAGTCTATTTCGCCTACTTCGTTAAGGTTAATATTATGATACACACAAGATGTAACTAAAGTCTATATCTACCTATAAAAGTACATACATTCTCATCTATTTTATTAATCCAAGCAGTTCATTCTCATCTACATCATATCCAAGTGGGTCAAAAATGGTGTGTTTTGGATTTTCTATACCGTAAATCTAAGAACTCAAATATCTGACTTTTGAGATGTCTGTACTCGAATGTTTGATCTCCTTCAATTTTTTAGAATGTATAGATCGTTATGAACGTCCACATTTATATAGGTTGGTTGAACATGTATTTTCGTGAACAGGTAAACTTGTCAGTCACACCATATATTTAATTATAATCTTAACCCCCTTAAATGAACTTTGCACTGAGGGGCTGTTTGGATGTTGTTAGTAAAGTTGTGTATTTATGACACAACTTGGAAAGTTGTTGTCCACCTCATCAATTTCACTTTTATATTTTATGACACAACTTGGAAAGTTGTTGTCCACCTCATCAATTTCACTTTTATATTTTTCTTTGTTTGTTTTTGATTCCATTGGAATCATAAATTGCTTGTTTGGTTTGCAAATGTAACTTTAATTGTTTGTTTGGAAAGTGTAAAAAGTACTCCCTATCATATTGGTTGGAATTATTTTTTATTATTTTTTCCTGACTTCAATGTCAGCTTTCTCCTAAAATCATGTCTTTTTTTTATGAAATCCCTTTACAAGCCACATCAGCATATGAAATCACTTTACACTATTTTCACAACTACAAACAAACAATTGAAAGTGATGAAAGCTGACATTGGGACCCATTTTTTTACACTTTCCATCCTTTTACATGGTAAAAACATACAACCAAACAGCCCCTGAGTTTCGCGTCTCAAAATCTTTGTTGATTTCAGGATGAAGTTTTGATTGCCGGATTTGGTCGTAAGGGGCACGCTGTCGGTGATATTCCCGGAGTCAGGTTCAAGGTTGTGAAGGTCTCAGGTGTCTCTCTTTTGGCTCTCTTCAAGGAGAAGAAGGAGAAGCCTAGATCCTAGAGTATGTTTTTTTTGTTATTTAATATCGAACCGATGTGAGGAAGCTCGAGTTTAGTGTTTGATTTAGATTTGGTAATCTCTTTTCTCAAATCTGAACTTTCAGGACATGTTAATTGTGAAGATATGTCAACAATTTTTGTTATGCTTTGTTTTTCCCGATGCTTATTATTTTCCAGTCTTAATTTGTTTTTGCTATGCTACAGCTTTATTATAAAACACTTAAACGTATATGTTTTAAGTTTTGAATTTTTGATTGAATAGTAGAACTATGTGTTAATAAATAAAATTGTATAATAAGGTTGTTTAAAAAGAAATGTATAAATTAATTATTATTATATAGTTATTGTAATTGAATATGTTTTCTTATAATGATTTGTCCAGTGCTAATCTTTTTTTAAATAAGTTTCCCAATTCTAAAATTTTTCTTAAATAAATTTGTCGATTCTATAAGTTCTCTTAAATATCTTCTCTAACTGAAAGTTGTTAACTTCATTCTAAATTAACTATGTTACGATAATCTTGGTAGTTTTTTCCTTAATATTCTCTAGATAGTTATACTTAATACATGCAACATATTGAAACATGTACTTTTTATTATAATTATTTAATATGGTAAGGTACACTAAACCTCTATGAACTTTCGGCCCATATGATTATGAATTTTAAATATGGTTAGGAACTTTTAAAATCACACTAAATCCCTAATGATTTTTCCGGACAACGCTTACAAATTAGAACCAAAAAATGGCATAAAAGACATTTTGAAAGTTATTAGGGGTTTGGTGTAATTTATCTAAAAGGTGTTGGAGGTTTTTACATAAGTTATTAGGGGTTTAGTGATTTTGAAAGTTCGTTGGGTCTATTTATTGTAAAATGCTGAAAGTTCATGGAGTTTACTGTAATTTACTTTATTTAATATTATAATTTTTAGTTTAAGTAATATTATTAAAATCATTGTACTATCTATATACTATAAATATTTATCTATTTTTTTATTATGCTCTTAAATAATTTAGTATTATAAATATTTTATAAGTTTTTATTGTTCTATCATTAACAATTAATAGTGCTAATATTAATATTAAATAATTGTTTTAAAATGTTAGTTTCCAATCATTGCTAAGTATTAGATTATCCAATACTATGTAATAATTTTTGATAATATGATTCTAAGGGTGCACCTCCAAAATTAGAGTATACGCTATCAATTTACTTGATTTACTCTGTTCATTTTAATCTATATGATTCAGATGACATGTAAACAAAAAATTAGGCATATTAGGATTGAATCTAAGGATGCACCTCCAAACTTGGATTATACGCAATCAATTTACTTGATCCACTCTGTTCATTTTAATCTATATGATTCGGATGACATGTAAACAAGAAATTAGGCATATTGTGTTGTATTTACTAATGTATAAGTGATAATAAAATTAACGGTTTTATGGCAACAATATAGATCAAAACGAACAGAGTGGATCAAATAAATTGATTGCGTATAATCTAATTTTGGAAGTGCATCCCTAAATTTAATCTAATGTGACTCCTTAGAATCATATTTCCCTATATATAACTAGTATGTAACCCGTGCAAAGCACGACAGCTTATTTTTTTTTATCATTGTATTTTAAATTTGTCTCTCTAAGTTTTAATACATTAAATTTGATCCTTGTATACTTTAAATTAAAAATTATAAATCATATAAACATATATGTTACCAAAAATATTACCATCTGATGCTTATACATTCTTGTTCTAAAGAATATAAGATCAACTCTAAATTTCCTAGTTTAAGAATATAAAATTTAATATATTACTAAATTAGCCGAATATCTCTTTCTAAAGTTTTGTCAATGGCAAAATTTTGCAGCCAATAACTATTCAATAGGTCAAATTATTTTGCTGGAGTGAGGGTTGTTTTGGAAAAGTAAAGTAGCTTAAATTGGTCTTGGTATTATCTATTTCTTCATCTTCTATTTTTCTTGTTGTTCTACAAAAGAAAGTAAGTCTTTATATTTACAAATTCTCTTTTAAGTTGAAATTCCTATGCAATTTATTAATAGTTATTTGTGAACTTGTCCCTTTCTTTCATTGTCATTGTCCCCATTTTTCAATATAACACTGTTTAGAAGGTTAAAATGAGTATGTGAATAAAATGAGTAGTATGCAAATAAAAATATTGATGGATGGCTACTGGTGTAGTGACATGAATACATTACATACAGGTCTCTTCAGATGAGGATAAAATGAGTAGTATGTGAAGTACATGTTTTGATATGGGTTCTTTTTGTTTGAGCTTAATGATGGATGGCTTTACCAACAATTAGATGGCATTACCTAAAAATTTCCCATTATCTACTTGTTTACATAGTTAGGCATTACCAACAATTAGATGGCAACTAGATAAATTTCATTAGCAGCATTATCCATTTTTCGTTTTGAGCTAATCAAATGGAAAATATGAAGTATTCTCTAAAAAAAGATCAATTGATACAAACAAAAAGAACTTGCAAGCTTGGAATAGACTTCTCAGATTATTGTTTAAATCGTCCTAAAATAATAAAGACATTAGTCAAAGGTTAAATTTTAATGACTTCTCATATTTAATAATCGTAATTGTAAACTATAGGTGAAGCTCAGAAAACACACCATTGGTGCAGCCCTAATATCATCTCTTGAATTATTCTGACACCTGACTGAAATGCCATCCTGAAATAATGAAATCACCAACAAAACGTTAAATTCAGAATGATTTCTTACCATCAACTATCGGCGAACATATAGATGAACCTAGGAAAACCCACCACTTCTGCATCCCCTGCATTATCTCTTGAATCATTTTGATTCCTGACAGAGGAGTTCGAGGAGTTCTTCTGAACAATTTCATCAACCGAACAATCAGAGGCTTCAACAGAGTCAGATTGACAAAGGATGCTAGTTCTGTAATTACCAGTAAAAAAAAGTTTATGTTGATATATGTCAGTAACTTTTCCTGACCTCATAATAAATCGAAATTGCTCACTGTTTCAGCACTTCCAACTTCCTAAGCCTTATCTTCTCCAAAACAGACGATATTGGCTTCTGAACCAAAGGGACGAGCTTAAATGAAGCATCTCTTGTTTCTTGTTCAGAAGAAACTTAAAAGTTAATGAAATAATCAAATCAATTTGATATTTAGACACTATAAGTGACAATGAGCTATAGATCAAAACTGTATCTAGCTAAGACAAAATGACGATTTTAGGTTCCATAATAACAATAAGTAAAAAATTTGTTGAAAAGATGAAACGTCAAGAAAAACCATAGGAAAAGGGTAAATGACATAAAATGGCAGAATTTCCTAAATTCCTCGCAACAGCCGCTGAGACTCAGCATGGATTTGCTCCAACTGAACCATTATTTCCTGTCAAACAAAAAATGTATAGCCTTATAATTAACCCTAAGAACATGAAAATATAATTAAAATATGATGAATTACAGACCCATCAAGGGAAAATAAGGTTTTCATATTCGATAAGTTTGAAAGAATTAGATATCTCATTTGTGCATTCAAGATATATACAACATCAAGCAACTGAAGTTTTAGAGTACCGCATTTTCTCAAGCATTTGTCCATTTGCTCATTTTGTGTGTTGAGGTTTGAAAACAAAAATGTCCATGGATGATCAAATCCTTTTGCATAACTCAAGAGCTGAGTTATTGAATGTAAATAGGGAAGACATCCTGAAAAGAAATAAGAATACAAAGATACGTATAAAGAAGGTACATTTCCAAGCATACAAAAGTTATAATTTTCAGTATGTATACATCTAAAAATGAATGGCAATTGGCAACCTATAGGAAATGCATTATTTCATAGTAAGCATCACAATTATAATAACTATTTTGAAGAAAAATATAAACTGGACATGTAGAAAATCATATATAAAATCCACATTCGGTATTATCAAGGCTATTATATAGACAACAATTGTGTAAAAAGTATTCATGGTTTATTTTTAATACAGTTATTCATTTATCCTAGCAGACTGTGTTACTGTGCTCTTTTTCTTTCATTTTTCTACATTTATTTGTGTTTTTTTCACTTACAAATATAAATGCAAATCAGTGGATATAACAACATAACAATCATATAATATTAGATGAATTAAAATGAGTTCCTTGCCTTTAAATACCCCAAAGCTTACTCTGATTTCATCTCTGACACTCTAAAGTTTACCTCATTTTAAACTTTTTGATTAGAATATAAATGAAAGTGATAATAATCCCAATGTAACCCAACAGTCATTATCAACATATAAATTTCTCAGACTTAAAAATCTAAACAAAAAGAAATTGGAATAGCACAATAGAGGTCATTTTTTAGAGCATAAATACATGTAAAGATCCATTTAAAATTACAACCCAACATTGAAATAAAATTACCATTCCGTAATTGTAATCAACCGATAAGTACATTGAAATAAAATTAAATCATATGATGATATTTTTATTGAACCATAAGTACATTGATCAATGAGGAATAATCTTATGACCCGTTAGGAGTAATTTATCTCTTTAAAGTAACTATTACTGAGTTATATTTCTACTATATCTACGACTAAAAAATTCTATATGTATAAAAAAAATTCTAACTCGGTATTTGCACAGACGTGGAACATAAATAATAGTGTTTATTCTTATCACGCTCAATAGCAAATAATGAGGAAGAAGCTATCATGCTACAGGCTTTTAGCAAAAACTATTCCATAATACAGATGAAGCTAATTCTACTTAACATATATAGAGAATGCTACATAGTGCTCTATGAATAGTGAATACCTAACTGATCCACCATCAAAGAATAGCCCTTAATCCAACAACATTACATCTGGCACATTACCAAGGATTGTTTTGCTAAATTTGATGCAATAAGAAAAAGATTCAAGGGTCATTTTGGTTGTTATTTGGAATACTCCATGTTTGAAATAAAGAAAAAAGGACTTAATGAAAATGAAATGCATTATCATTGCACATAAACTATGATAAAGATGTCCATATCATTTATTATTGCCATCTCATGTAAACATTTCACCATAAGTTTCCCTCACAATCTCACAGAATTACAGACATTAGTACATTACCAAGTGAGTTACTACAAATGGCATTCAATAACTATTCCAGGAAATTTTATAGAAGAAATAATCTAGAGATTTTAATGTATGTTGTCTTTCTCTTCAATAGCGTGTTCGTTTGGTCGTGGGTGGATAAGCTTTAGATTATGAAGAACTGATGTTACAATGTATCGTACAAAATAGAGGTCTTCATGATGATCCATAAAGTTGATAGTAATGCAAGCTCATAAATCAGATAGCTGAAAATTTTATGCATAAATGTCAAAAGTTTATAATAGTTCTACAATTAAAAAAAGAATGTATTGAATGATCAAATTTTTTAGAGAGTATATGCTTCAGTAACATACCTAGTTAAATTCAGTAACAACTACATGAAAATAATAAATACATTGGTTAGATTTACAAAATTTGAATTACCCTTTTTGCTAGCTCTGATCACAGTCCCAATGCTAGAACAAATAAAGAAAATTTGAAAAATAAAAATGTAATTCATTCCTAATAGACACATATCAAATCAGATTATGCTTTACCTCAATAAAAATCAGATTATGCTTGCCAGTAAGCCCACAATAATTCATTTCCCATATGTTAACAATTTCCCATAAGTTAACAATATAATTTCTTCTTCCTCTCACTTTAAATTTAACCCACATTAAATATTGCCAACACATCATAAAAAAACAAAAGATCAGCACTCACATGGGAAAAAAAACAATGTAAACATAATAAGCTTGTCGGGTTCGTATCAAATCATAAAGAATTATAAATGAACTGTAACCTTCATATTAAAAGCATCATATGCAAGTATAATCCTATGCTTTATATATACATACAAAGAGTAAAATACATTTCAACTACGTATATATAAATGTTATCAATTAAACTCTGTTATCAAAATTTTGAGAATGCTATTCAAGAGGACTAATTTCTAAGAAAAACAATTCTCTCTAAAACATATTTTTTATATTAATAGAAATGAAACTATTATATATAAAGCTGAACTAATTTCCAAGAGAACTACATCTTTTAATTTTTTTTTCTTGAATCAGATTACATTTGCATCTAAAGCCTAGAAAGCAAGATGTAAAAAATAATTGTGATACGCGAATACTTTAAGGTAATAGCAAAATAGACCAATATCATAATGTATAATTTTGCTGATAAATTCTCAAGCTAATAGGAAAAGTAGACATTTATAGAAATAAGTAATTAGTTTCTTGAGAAGCTCTTAAAAAAATCTTAAAAGCACTTGATGTGGAACCATAAAATTCTATCCATCATAAAGTCATGTTGGGTATAATAGCTTCTTAGTTCAACTTCAGTACATGATTGAACCAAAAAACCCCAAGAATAATAAATTTTTTTTGTTATCGATTAAAAGAAAATATTACTATTTACCTCACACTTTATGATCAACATTTCAAGCAGCTAATCCTCTCTCCTCAATGTAGTTATGCATTCCCTTCTGTACATAATGCAATTTTGGATGTCAGCATGTTGATCGTCAATGAAGAGAGAATAGTGAATACGAAACTGAGTACCCATCAAAGTATATCAAAGAACTCAAAAAGATCTCACCTTGTGAATCATAACCCTTGTGAATATTGTAATCATCTGAAGCAGCTGGAATCGAAGCATTCAAAAGATAAGGAGAGGTTCAAAGTTTCGACCTTTACCTTCTTTTGTCGACCTTCAGGCTCGATATCCTTCATGATTCTCTCGCTTCGCTCTCAACTGGAGGCGGAGATTCTTCGCCCTTGGATTTGGGTTTTTTCGTCGTTGTTTAGGGTTTGGTCTTGGTCTCGAAACCCTAGGTTAGGGTTTTCGCAGAGGTAGCTGAGAGTGAGCTCCTGGAGCCCGTGAGATTTTGGCGGGAATCCATGGAGGCCATATCGAAGGGGGCTGGAACTAGAGCTGGGATCGGATTCTGGGAGGGGGGATCCATCGAAGGGTGCGGATCGGATTCTGAAGGCGATGTCGTTGGCGGCGGCGATGATCGTGGATTTGAGGTCGCTGAGGCTGATCTTGCTGTCACGGTCGGCGTCGAGGACGTTGAAGTCCAGGCGGAAGTCCGGCGAGTCGCCGCCGTCGGAGGGGAGGGGGTAGCAGCGGGAGGGACACTTTGGGATTTGGGGATTTTTTTTCTTAGTCGATGAAGGACTGAGAGAAGACCAGAGAGATGTAGAAAGAAAAAGGAGAGGTTGTTTTTTTATCTTTTTATTTCCCCCTTTCAAGGTGAGCACTGTTGGTTTTTGAATTTTGAAATTGAACCTTTAAAAAAATTGAATAAAAGTGATTATAATAATGCGGTTACTGTAGGGAATATGTCAGTGGAAGGAAGTGGGCTCTATAATCAATCACTGTTCAATTTACTGTAGCGTGAACAGTAATTCTTTGATCCTCCTATTTGTATAAAGGAATAGATATGAATCTTAGGTGGCTCCTTAGATTGCATCTAGGGATGCGCCTACGTGGTAGCATCTCAGCCCTCCATCTTACCAAATCTCACCACAACTCCTTAACTTTACCATTTATTCTTTATTCTCACAAATAAAAAATTTGTTCATGATAGTCCTCATTCACTTTCCGGTATTCTTAACACAAAAGAGTGGTGGTAGACTTTCAATATCTGAAGTACACTCTAGTTCCCCCACTAATTCATAAAACCAAACCTAAAAAAATATACATTAGCATGTGCATAAAAAAATAATCATTGTAAAGAAGTAAAATTATACAATGTAATTATCATGTCACTCACCAACAATACGGAAGAAAAACCACCCATGTAATCAGCATATGACCATTCTCCCAATCTCATCATACTAATAGACTTCTTCGCCTTATTCATCTCTTTGCAAAGAAAGATAAATACTGCACGACACCAACTATAATTCTTCAAAGTGGACAGATGCTATGCATATCTAAACGCCTACAAAGGACATATCCTACATGTCCGCGAGCATAATATGAAGCTAATAATAAA